TAAAGCCTAAACCCCTCGACCCTCAACCCCAGAACTTCGTAGTCTAGGCCCAAAACTACTCACATAGTGGCCTTAACAGTTAGAATAGGGTTTTGGGGTATATTGATAAGGAACCCCCAAAAAATAGTATAGGTAACTCTCAAGGCCACTATATGAACCCGCCCAAAACGCACAAACTTCGGAACTCAGACCCTTAAACCCTAAACCCTATAAACCCTAAACCCTATAAACCCTAAACCCAGAGACCCTGCCTGGCCAGAGGAGACGCCCGTTCCATAAGCTCCGTCGCGAGGTCTCGGGGAAAAGACCTTTGTGTTCTAGGGGTTTAGGGTTTCGGGGTCTTTAGGGGTTTGGGGTGTTAGGGTTTAGGGTTTAAGGGTTTCGGGCTTAGGGGTTTAGGGTTTCGGGGCCTTTAGCTGCTAGCCGCCTTTGTCTAGAGGCCGTCAGTCCTTACTGGTGTGCTGATGCTGTTGCAGCTTCAGAAGTTCACATCTTCTCTGGAGCTTCGTTGGAGTTCAAGCATCTGAAGGCTTTCGGGTTGCAGACGTTTAGCTTCGGGGATGGGCAAGCTCACACCGAAGAAGACCGTCCTGAGGGTTCGGAGCTAAAAGCGGAGCTCTTCAAACGAAGCTTACTTGGTAACTAGTTGCGAGGCCATCACGGCTCCAAGATGATCTTAGCTTTAAGGCCTAAGTGTAAGTACCACTTCTGTGTCACATGCTCTCCACCCTGCGCCGGAACCCTACACCAGCATAGGATTTAGGGTTTTTGGTTCGGGGCGAACGCCAAATCGGAGCAAGCTGCATTGAGGGTGATCGTATCCAGCTCTGGCATGGGCAGATTCCTTGCAATTGCCTGAGTGCCAACACAAAGGCAGGTCGAGGTAGGAAGTAGGAAGGTCGAGATAGCAGTCGCAGCAGCAGGAGGAGGAGTAGTAGTAGTAGCAGCAGCAGTGTTGCCGCAGCAGTAGCAGCACGTAGGAGCAGGAGCAGGAGTCGGAGCCGGGGCAAAGCAGGAGCAGTATGAATGGAAGTAGCAGTAGCGGTAGCGGCAGCGCCAGTGATTGCAGTAGCGGCAGCAGGAGCAGTAGCAGTAGCGTGAGCAGTAGCGGCAGTATAGTAGTGATAATCAAATAGTGACAGTAATTAGCCACAATCAGCAGTAGCAGCAGCAGTTGTCGGGATGTTGTGGTGGTGCTGGTGGTGCTGATGATGGTGGTGATGGTGGTGGTGGTGGTGGTGGTGCCTGCTGCTGCTGCTGCTGCTGCTGCTGCTGCTGCTGGTGTTTGCAGGTGGTGTTCTCGACGATGCTGTTGCTCTCGATGCTGTAAGTTGTGTTGTTGATGCAATGGCTGGATGGTAGGATGAATGGTAAAATGGTTGGTGGATCGGCTAGCCGGCAGGTTGGTTGACTGGTCCTGCCCGGTTCGCTAATGTTGATATTCCCCGTTACGAACCACTGCTACAAGTACCCTTTGCCAGATGCCTGTTTCTACTGCCAGCAGCACGGCTACTCTTGCTGGCATCATAGGCGCAAGTCTGCAAAGTGATGTGCATGAGACAATTTGTTGAGCACTCTCGTCTATCACCCCAACCCCTTCAGTTAAAATGCGTCTGCTACGTGGAATCTACCCTGAATGGTCCCTGGTCCGTGCAGTATCGACAACTGAAGACCCGTGTCCAAGCGGCACCATGAACATCATGACAAACCCCAAAGCCTTATTCAGCCTAAATGGGGCCATTTATATCTCTATATGTCCCCTTTCAGCACATCGAGCGCATGACCAGTTTCATCAACGAGAAGCTGTATGTCTGGCAGCAGCATTTGGGGTTTAGGATTTAGGCTGCAAGGTTGAAGATTCTTATGAGGGTTAAGGGTTTCGTAGGGCCTTTAGGGCTCTTCCCCCGTGCTTTGTGAGGCTGGTTTTTGTCGAGGAACTCATTCTGAAACTACCATAATACTTGTGCCTCACATGCTGGTGAGTTTTGAGGGATTAGGAAGAGTATACATACAGCCCACTAAAGGAACAAATCTGAGCTTCTTCGGATCCGTAGCATAAGGGTATCAATGATTAGATTTGGTTTTCGAGGGTGCAAAACACCAAAAGACTTTTGAGGGATACTACTAGTTCGGCAGGGCTTTAAGGGACACTACTAATTCGGCAGACCTGCATTGTAGTTCCAGCTTCCAAAGATTCCGTCCTCAGTGTCACATCTGCCGCTGCAAGATGCTAGTTCCCACAGACCGAGAACGGCGGGTGTAGGGTGTAGAGTTTAGGGGCTTTGGGTTTCGAGGCAAAACACTTTTCCCGCGACTTCGCAGAGGGAGGCCATGCAAAACACAGCTGAGAGCTCCTCAACACTACGGCTCCATGTAGGGAGGTGTTGGGTTAACCTGATGACTGCTATCCCCCATCCATACATCACCAGGATGAATGTTCGTCGTATTATAATGTCTTTTGTTGGTGGAGGACGCGGAGTACAAGGAAGTGCATCTTAGGTGGCCCAAAAAGCTTAGCTCTTGGAGGAGTCTAGGCGGAAGGGGGCGGCTAAGTATATGCACATAGAACTTGTGGATGCGACGAACTGCCGTCCTGCCGCAGTATAAATGAAAACAATAAACAACTAAACAAACAAATAAATAAATAAATATATATATATAGATAGATCTAGCTATAACATAAATCTAGGCTGGCCGTTTAGAGCCTTTGCAAAACATTCGTAAATGAGGTCTTCTTAGGCCCATTCAGGGAAATTAACATGTGACTGTCTACTTGTTCTTCGCGGTCAATATTGGGGTGGACTTGTTTTTGTTGACACTTCCAAGTCTTAGGGCCCTGCCTTGCGTTTAGGGTTTAGGGTTTTGGGCTTTGGGGTTCAGGGTTAGGGTCTACATGGCTTAGGGCTTAGGGTTTATAATTTCGAGTTTATCAAGCACCAGGCAACCTGCACCTCATACACTGAAAAGCTCAACCGCGACTCGTAGACCCTAAACCCGCATGCCTAAATTCCAAACCCCTAAGCCTTCAAAAAAAACCATGCTGCTAAACATGCCAGAATGGGCTGCTGTGTTTACCTGCAAAGCCTTCGCAAACTCCTCCCGTTTCGGCGAGATGCCCTCTGTCGGGCTTGAGCTTAAAGGGCCTGTAAAGTTGGGTTTACGTTTTGGGCTTCGGCTCTTATGGATCTATAGAGGGTGCCAAAGCTGGTTACTATATGGAATACAGTTTCGGGTTTGGGCTGTAGGGGCCTGCGGCCTCGAATCCCTGGGTTGGGCTAAGGGTTTAGAATTTGGGTTTAGGGTTTAGCGTGGGTGTAGTGATGGCGTAATGTCCCTGAAACTCAAAACCGTACACCATCTTACACCCTACCACCCAAGCCATGAATACCCAAGCCATGAACCTCTGCTCCGGGTAGCCTTAGCCGAAGCCACAGTTCCTTCCCTCACTTGGCTCACGGCTGCCTAAACCCTGGCCAAATGCAGAGGCATGCTCGGAACATCTCGGAACCTTCAACTTCCAACTTCACAGCTTTTGCTTTGTTGTAGGAGGGGCGAGGAAGGTCGCTCAGGAGGCAAGCTCAGCCAATGAATGTTGTGGTTTTTGCTGCTGAGGCATAAGATACTGTATTTCTGTAGGGACTTCATGAGGGGATGCTATTCCTGAATATTCCGAGGTCTCTATAAGGTGCCCTAGCAATCCAGACATCGGCTCCTCACCGGGTCCTGGTGCTTCCCCAGCAGCCTCGGTTTCGACTGTGAGAGTAGGGGGTCACGCTTTGGGGCTTAAGGTTCAGGGTTACGGATTTAAGCTCCAGGGTTTGGGGTTTTGGGGGTCCAAGGTGCAACAAGCGCTTTTTGGTCCATGAAGCCTACAGAAAACAACATCTATCGGTTTTTGTTGCGGCCAATTGCCTGGGGATTTGGGAGCTTCAGCGAATGAGCCCCTATGGGGCAGGATCCAAATCATAAGGATCCTTGCAGATCAGCTTTTGTATCAGGGTTCCGTCGCTAGTCGCTGCCCTGGCCCTAAGCCCAAGCGACACAGAGTCTCATGTAAGACTAGGGGGCGCTGAAACCATCTGGAACAGACTGTATTTTGCTGGTATAACATCAGGCAGTTCTGGTATAACCCTATAGAAACAAGCATGGGTTTACTGTACTAGGTAAGCGCTGCTGTCCAAGCACCCTCCTTACACTTACACGAGTTGCCCCGCAATCCAGGATTCTTGGTCCCTGGACTCTTTCGCCATGATACCTAAGGCATTTCAAGCACGCCGCTGGGGTAGTTGTCCAAAATAGGGTCCCTTAGTGATGCATTTGATGGCATCGAAAACGGGACCCTAATTCAGAGAACCCTCCATTTGTCCACGGCTCGGAGGATTAAAGAAGTCGACTGGAAAATACAGGTACAATGCAACAAGTATCCCTCAGGGACATGCGCATGTACAGCGCTAAGAGCAAAAGCAAGACTTTGTTGAGATCTCTTAAGTCTCTGCATCGGAATGGTGACGGACTCACTGTCAAGGTCGCTGCATGCCGCGCTTGTTTCTAAGGCAAATGACAGTAGCTACAAAAAGCCCTACCTTCGAAGAAGCACCATTAGAACCATCTCTGCCAAGAGCTGCCGTACAAACTAGAATCATCTTCGCCGACGCAGTGATTGAGTCACACGAAAGCGAGTGTTGCTGCCTTCATGTGCTTTGTTGCATTCTCTCGCTCATTCCTTTCACAGTCTACTCGAAACGGAGAATGATTCTTGAGGATTTCCCAGACGATCTTCAGTGAGGCCGCGTTCAAGTAGGCCCTCCGAGAGCTCGTACAGAATATTTGTTGAAAATGGTTGAAAGTCCAGACAATCACCGCTGCCATTTGGCAAAGCAACGGTGGCGAATACAGCTATGATTTCCTGGGTTCTTGTCGCCACCCTAAACCCTAAACCCTAATAATAGGCCACAAATTATTTACTATAGATCCCAAGGGTCCTTAGCAAGAATCCAGACTTATGCACTTATGGTACTCTCCGCTTGGACCAGCCTAGATCCGGCCCCAACATATCTGTAAAGCAGCCAGGCTAGAGGGATCACAGTCAGGGCGAACAAGAGCATGTTGTCTTCGTGTCCGGGCCTAATGAGGGTGAGTTTGAAGAAGAGTTGCTCTGTCACAACCCCCAGAAAAAGGACGAGCACGACAGCAAGCAGTGGCAGCAAGTTCAGAAAGGGGTCGCAAGGTGGCCATCTGCACTCCTTCTGGAAGCGACATGCCAGCCGACACTGGATCAGAAAGGCCACAGGACCGATCCCCAACCACCAAGCTAGTCCTCGTGCGATCTGACAGGCTGCTTGCATCCATGGATCCCACGAAGTGAAGCGAGCATGCGCCGAGGCTCGGTCCAGGTGGCTCCAAATAACTGGAGCAAGAGCAGTTACAACTTGGGTATAGGTGAAGGGTTGTCTGGACTGCTCGTGCACAAAAGTGTCCCTGATCTCCGTTCGCACGCGGGATTCAAAATTCTCAAGACTGTCGAACCACTGGTAGATGCACTTCATTACAACCTTTCGGTCGCAGATTCCACGGCTATGAACATGTCCGGTGTCGCAGCAGTCGCATTTCACATCCGCAAGACGCCAACCCGCCAGCATTTTTTCGGAATTACTCACTGATCGAAAGTAGGCCCTGAAAGCGGCTGTGTTCACGGACAGGCCAATGCAGCAAATCAGAAATTGAAATGCCCACACTACGTAGCGGCCATTGGCTGAGAGGGCATAAGCGACGTTGTCACCAATGGTGAGAACGAGGAGCAAAGTCAGCATCAGCACGAGATAGCAAGGCCCTAGGATCGTGGGCCTCAAAACGACGTTTGGCGTCTCGCCCTGCTCACGGCTTTGCAAGAAGGCAGCAACCTCAAACATTGTCCACAAGCGATCACAATACGTGGCATCCCAAAGAACCAGCAGTGAGCGTGAAGCCTTTAGGAACGCACCCATGCTCAGTAATCCGAAGCCTTTGCGTTTTGCATTCACTTGGTCTATGCAGATCACATCCAAGAAGATAGGGACCTGGGGTCGGTAAAACAACAAGATCAAGACGTACAGGATCATGCCGAGAAGTGATGCCCAAAACGATTGCCAATACGCATCTTTGCTTGAAGTTGGTTCATGCACGACGGGTAGCAACTGCAGCGCAAAGAGGACGGATGCCACAGCCGAGCCAAGACTTGCGACGACTGCCGCGGCTGCGCCGTTGTAGAAGAGGAGGAGAGTCATGTACTTTCGCCAAGTTGAGCCATGCCAGCTGTGACTCCAAAACATGTTGATCTGCTTGGTTCTGTAGCTCCGCCTCACGTGCAGAGTTCCTATGGGACTATGGGAGACATGGATCAACTTTTAGATTGATAAGGGGTCGGGAACCAAAAGGGCAAAGATACCTAAACCTCCACTCAAGCAACTGATACAGTTTCTTGGAGCCGCGGAGGGCTTTGCCAAATCCTTGGAAAGCATCACCTGCTCTTGTAGCCCGGAGAAGATCGGGAGAGATTGGCACCATACGGCCCACCAGTGCAGCGAGGAAGTCTTCACTCAGAGTCTTGGCTTCTTCCGGCTCCGTTGCCGCTGGAAGGATTTGCCTGTCACTGGGCAGCGGAACAAGGACGTCGACGCGATCAGCCGCGGAGCCTGGGATCTGACTTGGCGCGATCATGGTCGGCCAAGCCGGGGCCGTGGAATAGGGTACCTGATGGTACCTGGCTCTGTGGTAGCATAAGGACATGCGGACTTTATTGCTAATTGTGCTGACTTCTCTTGTGGGATATTTGCCTCCGTCCTTCGAGCAGTGATACGTGGTGTGGGACTCAAGCGAAGGCTGGGCTGCTGCCGTGCAGATGCCGAGATCCGACCATGCCGGTACCAAGCCACCTATCTTCTTAGGGGCTGAGTATCCTAGCCCAAAACAGGTTAACCTTCCAATAATGGTAGGGATATATAAGCCCAAAGAGGTTAAAGGTTACTTACTCAGCTACTACGTCTTTCTCCAACCCCACACCTACCCTCACAGCAGCCAGTGCCCCGCCACCTTCAGCTTCGAAGGTGTTGCTTTTGGCGTGAGCATCGCCGCGATGAACATGTCTAAACCGTGCTTCATGCCTTAGCCCAACAGCCCAAAGCCGATAAATGTTGAAACCTTGGCCGTGCCTTAAGAGCATAAATCCTAAATTCTAAGCCCTAAGCCCTACATCCAAAACTCTCAGGCCCATACCCTAAACCCTAAACTAAACCCTAAACCCCTAAGCCCATGAACCCAGACTCAGCCCCTGACTTCTTCATCCTCATCCTCATCGCCCTCCTGGATCGGTGCATCCAGGACGACATTGGCCTGCAAGGGAACTCAAATTAGGGTTTGGGGTTTTAGGGGGGTTTTATAGGGGTGTTGGGTCTAGGGGTTTATAGGGCTTATAGGGTTTTGGGTTTTGTTGGTTTAGGGTTTCGAGCTTTTAGGTTGAGAGTTTAGCGCGTTTAGGGCTTAGGGCTTAGGGGTTGAGGGTTTAGGGATTAGGATTCAGGGTCTTACGAGTCATGCGCTGAACGACTTAGGTAACAAGATTTCGGGTAGGAAATTGAGTTTCGAACCTATAAATAGGGATTTCCAGAAAGCTTCACTTACTTGGTTTTGTGATTGAGGGTCGGCTTAGAGTTATGAACCCTAAACCCTAAACCCTAAGCCGAATCATTAGGAAGCATCCTTTTTGGTTCCCTTCAAAATCTGCAGCCACCACTCTGCCAGGTCTGCTTCCCCAACAAAAAGCCCTGAACCTCAGGAAACAAGCTGTACCTTGGCTACCTCTACCTGTTTTTTGTAGGCTCTTATTATCAACTCAACTCTGAGATAGAATTTAGAGGGTCTCTACAAAACAGACGGTTTTAGTAGTCCATTTTAGGGGAGTTTCAGAATACTAGGGCCCCCAGCGCAGACCTCAAGTCACAGGGTTCGTCAGACTGGGGCCAGCATGCGGATCCCAAACCCTAAACCCCATAAACCCCAAACACTAAGACGGTTTCGGGTTTAGGGTTTAGGGTTGGGAACAGCAATTCAATGGTAAGTTTTCAAGCCCTTTGAATTTACTCGCTACTGCCGAGTCCCCCAAACCCGTGACGCCGTGACTCAGCCGTAGGGGTTCGGGTTAAGGATTTAGGGCTTATAAGGTTTAGGGCTGGGCTTTAGGGCTTAGGGGATTTGAAGCGTAGTTGATGATCAAATGCAGGCTGACCTAAACCCCACATACACCCCGCCCGTGACTAGCTCTTCGGGAATGAACCGTAGCTTCTTAGGGCACTGGCGCGGTCAAACTCGTTTAGAGGCCTTCTTCTTATCATGAAAGACATGGCAACGCCATAGCTACGCAGAAAAGCGGACTCGATCATTCTCTATATACATAGGGCTCATGCGTATTACTGGCTCCTAATCAGGAAACTGATGACCTTTGGTCCACGGAAGCTCCATGTCCCGAAGAAGTCTCTTACGCTTCCAAAGGGGCTTCGATCGACAGCCCACAGCTGGCACACTGCGACTGTGACGTACACAGAAGCCCAAATCCCTTAACCCTTAACCCTAAACCCAAATCCCTTAACCCTAATAATCCGAATCCCTTACGTAACCCTCAACCCTACTTAGAAGCCCACGACCCGCCTCCTCATCTTGTAGATCCGGTTCTCCAAGCGGCGTGAGGTAACATCCTGGGCCCACCAGTGTTTAGGGCCTCGGGTTCCCTAATCTTCTATAGTCTCCATTGCAGTTCGTTTTGCGGTTACTCAGCTCTATGTACTTAGGGCCTAGGGTCCTAAAAGGCAACCTGCAAACAGGAACTACAGTGCAGACGATAGGAATCCGCTAGAAACCATAAAGGCTTAAGGCTTCGACGATTCCTGGGCTTGGGGTTCACTGGAAAGCCACCTGCGACACAGCAGCATTCTTCAATAGCTATGTCATTATCATACCCTAAGGGTCCAAGTAATCATTATTTAAGGACTTTGGGGCCCAAAAACCATAAATAAGGACTACTTGGACCCTAAGGGATATTATAGGGCTCAGGGTTTTTTGTTGTTTAACCGGGCCTTTTGCCGCCTCTGAGCTCAGGGTTTAAGGCTTAGGGTTTAGGGTTTAGGGTTCAGGGTTTATAGTTCAGGGTTTAAGGTTCAGGGTTTAGGGTTTAGGGTTAGGGATAATCGTAAAATAGCAGCAGCTGTAGTAGTTCTGGGTCGGCCATGATCCGTCCCATTGGCAGAGCTGGTGTCTGCTAGTTCCATAACGGACCCGGCCCTAAACCCTAAACCCTCAACCCCTAAACCCTAAACCCCAAACCCTAAACCCTAAACCCTAAACCCTGAATCCTAAGCCCTAAACCTAAGCCCTAAACCCTAAACCACTTCTTTGAGTGCCCTAAATCAGGAATCCGAATCCTCCTTTCGCCTTGGGCACGAGCAGGCTCGTTGTCGACGTAACAACAGGGATTCCATTACAGTTTACTAAAATATACAACAATAACATACTACAATATACTATGATATACTATAATATACTATAAGATACTCTCAGATACTATAGAACTATAACATATTATACTGTGTCATCACCAAATGCGATCAAAACTGCAAGCTGGCGAGTCTTCACGTGCAACACACCCTCCCTCGATAACATCCTGTAGAAGTTAAGCAAGCTCGGGCTGCTAGGGTTTAGAGGGTATTCAGGGTTTAGGATTTAGGGTTTAGGATTTAGGGTTTAGGGTCTGTAACAGTATATTCAGCTTGTTCCGAGAGATGTATGAGCTTAGGACAAGGCCGTATTGCGTATTCCGAAGCTCAAGCTGTACGGCCTGGCGTAGCTTTGCCAATCGCCGGTGAAGAAAAAAAACAAATTTCCCGCAGGAAGACTGTACCCATCACGAATTGGGGCTCCGGCTAACGTTGCCGTCCGGGAGCAGAACGCAAGCCTTCTCTGCAAGACTGTGGCTCTCACTACCAATCAGGCTGCCGCACAGATCCGAGATATCCACAACCCGAAGAAGCATGCATTTCTATACTTTTCTGGCCAGTCCTATCCTTCCAGTATCGTATGTGGTAAGTCCTTTCGGATTTCGGTCCCAGTTGCCCAACCATGAGAATAAATCCCTAACACTAAACCCCGAAGTACTAAACTCCAGGCCCCAGCCGGGTCGATGCAGAAATGATGTTCTTTGGTTTACGGCGTCTTTCGACGTTGGGGGTTCGAGGGTCTAGAGGGTTTGGGGGGAGATTTGGTTTAGGGTTTAGAGTCTTCCATACCTTTCGACGCACTGAACCTGCCCAGACATCATAGTACACTAGTCACTGGTTCAGCTAGTCAGCAGCTATTCACAGGTACTTCGCGAGGCATAGCAAGCCCCATGCGCAAAAAACGAACAAATGAGACAATCACAGCAGGACGACCATTGAATCCGAAACCCGCTCTTCGGCACGAAAAGAATCACCAAGCTCCGCGCCCAAATGCCGCCGGCGCAGCCCCTGCAGGTAAGGGTTTTTGAAGGGTTTGGAGTTCAGGTTGTCTAAATCTACCGCACGCCCTAACAGAGCACTCTGACAATGGCCCGGAACAGAAAACATGGACTGCCTGTCGTCTATGTAGAGTCTATGGCTGTCGCGATGTCAAGCTTACAGCATTTGATCCCGCCGATTCGCCGAGCCCTAAACCCTAAACCCACGCTACATACCTGACATGCCGGCACAAAGCAATAATTCGGCAGGCAATCTTAACAATGAATAATCTATCCGTCTGTCTGTCTGTCTGTCTGTTTGTCTGTCGCTCTATCTATCTCTCTGTCTACATCTGTTAATCTATCTGTCTACCTATCTACCGAGCTCTCTATCTATCTGTGTATCTATGTATCTAGCTCCTCATACAACCAGTATCCATACTCATTCTGGACATCGTTTGGGCATGGACTAAATCACAACATCGTGCAGGGCCATAGAAACAGGCAGAGCAACTGAACAACCTAAAGCCAGCATCTCAATCTAAAGTTCGATCAGCGTTTAGGAAGCTGAGCTCTCCGCAGGGATATCCCATTATACCGTCACGATTCCGGCTAAGGGCCTGCATAAATCCTGTGCACATACATGACAAGTCTCAAGCCCGAAACCCTACACCCAACAACACATGGGTATCTAGATAATGCCTGAATCAACCCGAAGACGTCCTCGTTCTTCTGCGGATCGCAGCCTAGAAAGTCGTAATACTGTGCCTATAGCTTTCTGACAATAATAGCTCCGTGATTTCAAGGCCCGTGACAACTACGATTCTTCCCTCTCAGGGTCGAGAGGGTTGCCGAGCTTTCAAAGCATGATTCTGATGCGGCCCGCTCGAACTATTACTATTGAAACTCTCATAACACTTTGTACGTTACATACATACATACATACATACATACATACATACATACATGCATGCATGTTGACACATATACATATATGTATGCACACACAAGCACCATGCACCTACAGTGTAGTGCTCCTTCCTCGAGCTCCAACATAGAAGTGGTTGGTCTACGTACAGAAACCAGAATACTTCGAAGAGCGCCAAAACTCGGATCCAGGCACTTATTACCTCGTTCCTGACGCCCGCACGAAGCCCTTCTAGAACCCTTCTAACAGCCCGTAAAAACCCTAAACCCT